TTAAAATCTGCTTCAAGATTCCTAAAATTTCACCAGATATTTTCTTCAATCCTAACTCTACCAACCTATCCAAAACTTCTAATTCTCAGCAACCAGAGAATTCTAACCAAACTCTTTCTGAAACTAATGAGAACCAAACACTACATACTAAAGATCCAGAAGACGATGATGTTATTATGACAGATTTAAATAATGATGACAATACCAATATTAATGAACCTAATAGATCTCAACAAAACCCTGATCCTAATACTAAATCACAGCAGGAGCCTTTGCTTGTTACTACTCTTTTATACAACCCTTTTCAATAATTTCTTCTGTAGAACCCATTGATGTAGCCACCGCTTCTAGTAAGATAATGTCCTCTACTTTTAGTAGACTATTTCTAGAAGAGAATGATGTAAGTGGACAGGTGGACAAGTCCATTTATGCGGAGGACCAAGTTATTAGTCAGACTCAACGTATAGAGCAGATTTTGGATACCTGCACAGCTGTAAGAACCGAGCTTAAAATGGCGAGCGACCCTACAGAAGAAATACAATCATCCAAACTATTACTAACATCTTTAGACTCCTATGATTTGGATATTTGCTATAACAAATACTTACTTCATTATAAACTCCCTCTCCTAAATGGACCCCAAACTATTCAATCCTTTTATTCTTACCTAGATATCCATGCCCCATATCTTAAAAAATATACTGTTATTTCACTAACTAAAGATAGAAAAAAAAACACATATTTACTTACCATATGAATATGAATTATTACCGAATCACATTCTACTACCTATAGTTGATATAGCCGAACATAATTTACCTCTTAAATCATATACAAATACTCCATTAACCTTACTACCAACAATTTCTGAACTAACTTTCAGTGAATCCGAACCCTTATCTATAGACTCATCTTCTTCTTCCCAAAATCCTAGCAGAACTACACAAATACCACAACAGCCTAATATGACTCTGAATATATCTAATCCCAATACCAATACTTATATGAGCAAGCTTATCTCTAATCAAGTACTTAACCTATCTATATGCACACATAATGTACAAGGATACAATGTCAACTTCAAGCAACAAGTCTGGAAAGACTTTTGTCTTTCTAATAATTTAAACATTATCAGTATTACTGAAACCAAAATAGCTGATACAAACCCTATTACC